TCTGCCGTAACCTGCCATAACAGTTTATTCGTCGTTTTATTTGTAGTTTCATTATCTAGTTTAACTATTTTTTCTATTTCAGCAGTTTTCTATTTTCATTTATCTATGTTAAGTTACAGGGTAATTTGTCTTTATTTGGGAAGTAAACCTGAAATTTTTGTTACAAAAATGCTGGAGCTAAACATGAACGTTAATAAGCCCGTATTTTCATTTACTCGCCTATTATATTCTGTTATATCGCGGATGATTCAGTAAATAAATAATAATTTTATAAATGTGCCGCGGTATACCGGATCCCAATTTTATTGTGAAAATGCTGAAGGATAATATTTTGAAGCATTTTTCTCGCGCGAAGTAAATTTATGGTCGAAACTCAAAATAGAAGCATCCTGCGTTAGAATTCGGTATAGACCACTGTTGCAGTGTGTTGAGAACACTTTATCATTGAGCAGTTGCGCGAAAGTGCCATTGCTACTCTGCTACACTACAGCTTCCTCTAATGCAAAATGCGTGGTCATTGTCACTTTTTTATATATCAAGCGCGTGACCGAATGTCTTCTTGATCCACCTTGATATTCACATAATTGATTAGTAGTATTACTCTCGCTGTCTAGTAATAATTTCTACGTAAGTTGTACGCCTTTTCTGCCAATAATTTACCCTGATTTCCATTTCAGCATTTTCAGCTGTTTCATCTGTCTTTCTCTCAGAACGAACATACATTCATGCTGTTTTAATTTATCGTTGGCTTCTGTTTAGTTTTATTTAACTATTGTAAAACTTCTATTTCGCATTTGTATCGAAAGGATGGAGAATTTAAGTAACACCAGCATGAAATTGATATTGCCATGATGCCGGTTACTGTTTCTGATATTCGTACGCTTGCGCAATAGCTTTATTGCTTTATGAAATTCGATTAATTGACATTAGCACTTTATTAACTACAGTTTGTTTCTAGTTAAGCTAAACAAAGTACATGTAGCGAAACCAGTCAAGTTCCGCCTGAATGTCACGGCAGCTCCACTTGCCGCTTTCGCCATCAGACGTGAAATAACGTGGATACTCCAAAACTATACTTGCTATGAAAAGAGTTAAGCTGTCTATTTTGTTACGCAAAATCATTTTTCAAGGATTCCAGTTTTTACTATTTCTGCAGCAGTTGTTAGGGTTTTGCGATTCAACTTTTGGAACAAATGCGTTTCGCACCTTAATACTATCATTGGGAAGCGTGTCGTTCTGTTATTAATACCTCTACGGTCAATTAGCATCTCGCGTTTCCTTTGATTTTACGAGGGATCGAATGACGCATTATTCGCCGATCGTTTATTGCTTAAATAGATTCCGGTCTTTCCATTGAAACTCCACATGATTGAATGCCAGGCCGCTATTGACACGGCATTATATAAATAACTTCGAATAGGCGTTTCTTTTATTCACTACATTGTTTGAGTATGAAGGTAGCTTAATAGTTACTTCCATCCATTTGTTAAGGATCATTATGACCTTATCTTATGATGAGAAAGGTAAGTAGCGATTTATGCGATACGATAAAATGAGAAAAAGCATATCATAACCATTTGATAAACGGAAGAATAATCGTGTTGAACTGCTAAAAACACAACACTGCTGACATTAAAAATTACGTATGGCAAAAGAACAAGCAAAGAGATAGAGAACGCAAAGCGAAACTACAAAGGAATCACAACAGCTACTATCGAAGGGAGTTGCATTATAAATGACATTATTGATTTAAAGCTCGCTATATCAATTTACCGACGTTTGGATAAGTGAAATGCGTTTCAGTGATTGAATAATAAGACCGATATTATTTTCAACTGGCTGAAAACTACGTCTTGACCTTCGAGCATAATCCTGCTCTTTGCACAAAAACAAGGTAGATTTCTAGGGCAGCACAGAACACCTGGCGGCAAATGATATTTGTTCTTTGATCACTTGCATAAACTTGCAAATCATAGTTACAGGGCGATTAAGCAATGTTTCGCGTTTCGCGCATCTCTGACATTGTGGCATTTAGTTTGCATATAAGTGGGAGGTAGAAGTCGGTGATTCGCGGCATTTTTTCTACGGATTTAAAAAGTATTTTTATAACGATTGAACACATCTGCTGGTTTTTATAAAAATGTTATTCGAACCTTCCAACCACTGTTTCGACCTTTCGCTCTCGCATACTATTAGCTGCAATCGAATAGTTTTACTCTATTCATCTTTAGATTATTATCTGACGTAGGATTTTATATAAACTGTTTGATTGGATGACTCTAATTTGCGTCTGTGGTGTAGTTAGATGCTCTCAAATTGTGTTGTTCGTTACGTAAGGGTTGTTTTTCCAAAGGTTAGACCGGACCATTCCAGTTCCATGTTCTTGTATCACACTTCTGCTGAAGTTGTTTGGTTAGATCCATATGCGAATTTCAGCAGTTCACTATCGCGAATGTTTTGCCGTAGGTCTGGAATAGAACTATCTAACCTTGTATAGTTTTATTAAGACGGTTCCATTTCTGATAATAGCTCTTATAACTAGTTTTTCTTGTGCTTGTTTGAAAAGAACCAGCATTCCGTGGTGGCTTATTGCCGTTCAGGTTCGTTTGTCTTTCCACATAGATTAATTTATAAGATAACCTCGTTTTGTCGTATTGCTAGCTGAGTTGTTGCTGCTTACTAACGTTGCTCCTGCTGTCATAAGGATACCGTAAACGTAGAGATGCCCGTAAGGCTTAATGGTGAAAGATCTGTTATTATTTTTAAGCTTGCTGACCGCGGTGATAATGATCTACTTTGCTGGCACTCATACATGTTTGCAAGTCATGTAAGCGTTGCATCAGTATCTTAGTTTGTTAATTGTTTTATGGTTAGGGGTATTCTGTCTTTAGTTTGTAGTGAACTTTCATTTGCGGATTTCTGTGAGTTGGTGTTTTGTCGAAAACTCAGTGTTCTTTGGAAATAACTTTCACTGACAC